GGTTCAGCTCAGGGCACCCAGTTCTTCTGCCTTCAAACCCACAGAAATGTGTAGCAGGTTCGGGTTTTTTTTGTTTGTTTGTTTCATTTGTTTTTTGACTCGGTAGTGATAACGCTGCCTGCAAGGTGCCCGTCTTGAGAAAGAAAGGAGTTGCTGTTTTAAACTCTGCAGGTCAAGATGAGAAATCGAGGTTTCAGTTCTGCAATGAAAGGAAGATGATCTGTGTAAACCCGAAGATACCATTCTGCAAGAGAAAAGCTGCTCTCTTTGCTGTGCGAGGGAGGTGCTAAGTCAGAATATAAAGGTGAGGATGAGGGAAATCCAGAGAAGGTTCTGCTGGGTTGCCACTAGCCCAGGGGTTGCTGCCAGGCAAAGCAGATGGTCTCGATGCTGCAGCATCGTACAGCTGTGTGCATCTTGGATCAGAATGCACATAGAAGGAGAAAGCTGAATGGAACAGGAGGGTTTTTTTTATCAACATGCGCTTCATACATCTTTAAAAACTACTGTAGTACAGAAAACGTGCAAATAGTTGTGGCCATCTACACGAAGCACATAACTAGGTACAGCTTTTCATTGATTTTTCCTGCAAGCAGATCTGTAAAGGAGGGACTTCTGTACGAAATCACACAATACAATTTTGGCATGTTTGCCCCATACAGTTGAAAACCCCCATTTTCAGTTCCAATGGAACAACAATCTTAATTAAAAGCACTTTATGATTTTTAAAACAACCGAATACTTATAAATTTTGTGCTGCCTCATGGGAAAAAGATGGAAAATAGTTTAGAGTTGAGGACTATTATTATCGTTCTTGCTTTCAACTCTCATTAAAGTCTTGTGACAAAACAGGGTTTTACCACAAAGAAAGAAGGCTCCAAGATGAGAGGGAGAGAATTCGAATCAAGAAGTGATGTAGAAATAAAAGTGCAAAAGCATTGCAGGGGAGCTTAGGAGGCAGAGTAACAACATGTGCTGGTTATCTTGATCTAAGGTCCCTCTGCATCCAAACCAAACCCGTGGATTCAGATTCTTTTAACTGCTGAAAGATTCAGAAACGAGATGGTGCAAGTCATAATGCATGTTCAGAGTTTAATTTTGCAAGTTTCCCCTAGCTTTTGACTTACAAGAATTCTGCAGTCGGACATTGGCTTTCAATTTGACTTTGGCATGGTGTCATTTGGCTCTTGCAGACTAGTGATCTGCTCACATTTATTGTAAATAATGACTAGAAATCTAACCTACAAACTAGACTGTTCAAATAACTTCTGGAAAGGCTCGTTTCCTTCACTTTCCCCAACCTCCTTAAGACATTTTGTCTTATGGGATTTGTTTGCAATCTACTAGCTGAAGCTCTGAGGCAAGTTTGCCAGATCTGGGGCTGCATCATCGTCCTGCACATCTGGAAGTGGTTTATGGGCTCTCATTCCTTGTGCGGCGTCTGGACTCTGTGCTATTCCTCAGCAGCAGAGAAAGAAAAGAAAACCAGCACAACTCCAAAATAAACTTTGAAGAGTTTGAAAAAGGAACTGAATCTTAAAACTGTTACGGTGCCCTATAAGGCCCTTGCGTGGGGGACTTCAAAGGAGAATGATGGTCAAGGAAGCTTTGGCAAGAGTGTTTACAGCTGTGGGCTATCTAGGATCCAAGTAAATAGCTCCGCAGCTCTTCAGGAGAGAGAAGTCCCGAATACTGTGCTGCTTTGGAGAGGTAAAAAGACTAATTAAGTAGGAAATATCTGAGCAGTAATGTCACTGTTTCTGAGCTTTCCCTTCTGCAGCCCCTCATTTTGTTGCAGGATTTGGCAATTGAGTTAGGGACTGCCAGGTTCCAGGAACTAATGTCTACAGTCAGGAAAATATGAGTAAATATTTGCAGGGGAACAAATACTCCTCTCCTTAAAAATCAGTGGGTACTCTGTCTGAGTTTCTGAGGTTTAGGAATGCTGTAGTTTCACAATTCAAACTTGTACAAGAGTGCCTAAAATTGGATTTTTAAGTTTAAAATGTGGTTTAGATTATCTTGATTTAATAATTTCTGAAGATATAATGAAGCAGTGGCTATACAACTTTCATCTTGCAAATAATTGTTTGTGACTATTGTGACAATTGTTAACTGAAAGATAGTAGTCA